GTGGCTCCTAGTCCCAGTCAAACCATCACCGCTGCTTCTTTGACTCTTTGGTGCAAAACCCTCTTGACGGAGATATACAGCAGCAGCAGTACTCACATGTAGATCACTGTCATCAGACAGGATGAAGCCTGGGTCCATCAGAGAAACGGCGAAATAGAGCAACACCGACAACAGCACCAGCAGCACGAAGAACACCGGCTGCACGAGCTGGCCCGTCTCCTCCTGCTGCCTCAGCTCTACCACACACACACACACACACACACTACGTTAACGTTACTGGTGGGACCTAAATGCCAACCTGAATAGCAGCTTCCTTCCTCAGGTAACATCAGTATATATGATAATGCCATTATACATCAAGAATTAGCGTATCATTCCACATATTACATAGTATTTGAAGCACAAAGCTACATATAATAATAATATAACGTAGTGCTTTAATGAGTTTACCTGTATCATGTAGGAAGAGTATTAACGTTATGACCCATGTCAAAATCACATGAGCTGTTCTAACCAGGAACCCAGAGCCAAACACATTTTTGAACATGGTGCTAGCATGTTAGAGCGTCCATCGCTGTGTTCAGACGGACCACTGAGCTGCTAGCGTTAGCGGAAAGATAAAAGGGTTCCGCGCATTAACCGACGTTCCTGAGACCTCGAGCGTTCTGTGTGAAGCGTTAACAGCGAACGGTACCGTCACCGGCCAGTAACGGATGTTTTACGACCGACGGCACTAAACGGCGGGGTGCACGTTATTGGTTCCGCGTGACTCAGTCAAACACTTAATTAAATGTAGGTCGAAAAACATAATATTTGAATTTCAGCTTCGGTCTAATGCATTTGTTTGTTGTTGTCGTCCGTGTGCAGTCTTAGCGGTGATTGGCCAGCGTCGGTCACGAGACAGTCTAGTATGGAGTGTCCGTAAGGGAGAATGAGCGCGAGCTCTGCCCTGAGATGCTCAACCTGCTGCGTCTCATTAGGCTCGTTCAGTTGAACTGCGAATATGTAGTGGGGTCTTTAAAACAACATCTGTGCCGGCATTGCAGGTAGAAATGGGGGAAATGCCGTTGGAGTTGAGAAGAATCCAGATCATGATGATATTGGGTCAGTTTACAAGGACATAACCATCCAACAATAAGTGCAATTGAGCCATGCTGGGAACAT